TAGGGTTGTGATGGTTTGAATGAGCATCCCCTGAAGATTCATTCACAAGTTCAAGGATCCATCTCCAACCGATACCACTGTTAGGAAGCAATGAAAGAGTTGAGATGGTAGTTAATGGGAGGTTGACGGTCACTAGTATTATGCCCTAACTGTGTACTGGGGAGCCCTGACCGTTTCTATTCCGTCTTTGATGCCCCAGCCTTCCCTACCATGATGTGTTGCTTTACCACGACCACAAAAGCAGCAAGGCCAAAGATCATTGACTGAGCTCCATAAAACTGTGCTAAAGTAAACCTCTCTCTTTGCACTGCCTCCCTTGGGTAGTCTGTAAGAGTAATGCAGAGGTGACTGACACAGGCCCATGTCAAGATGACCACATCAGGACAGATATCTACTCTGTATTACTCGTGCTTTAACTTAACGTTCGGGATATTTCTTCATTTTTAAGTTTTTAATGTACTCATAAACTTAATGAAGCTCTGATGAGGTTTTAAATTTCTTGAGTCATCCATAAGCGATTAATGCACTGTATTCTCAGTGTCTAAACCTGCCTTTGAATTGGGTTGTATCTTCTAAACATCCGAGTACATGCTTATTTGAAAATAAGCATATATTGACAGAAAGAATAATGAAACGGCAGGAATACTGTCTGGTCACCTTTTGTAAAACTTAACCATGCTCAGTTTGTAAAGCTAAAGCAATCCTGTCCTCACATTACAGGGATGAACAGTGTCATTTCTATGGAGAACCTGAACATGAATGCCACAGAGTGATACTTGTCCAGTTTGCCTGTGGTGTTCTTAGCTTTCCTACGCTCAGATGGGTCACTCATACTAAATGCTCTACTCTATTCTTAGTTTCAAGGATGTGACACCCAAGTCTGTCTCTGGATAGAGCTACAGGTCTGTGTGCTTGCCTAATTTGTCCTAATTTTTATTTTCTTTTTATATTATCAGATTAAAGTTCTACTTGGAGTTCCCCACATTTGCATCCATTTCCCTCTCTTGGTCGAGTAATTTTATTGAGCCTTCAATGAGCATTCGTTCTCATAACCTAAGCATAGTATTTTAACCAAGGAACGGATTACTGGAAAGAATTCAAACTCTCTAGCAATTGTGGGATTCCACCCTGTACTTCTCCAAACCCCGGCTGAAAAAGAATTCTCCAAATTCTCTTTCTATACCTTTCATCACTACTTGTTCTAATAAAAAGGTTTCACAAGTTGTAGCCATCTTGAAAGAACATTACAACCAGTCACACTGATGGGCTGAAGTTTCATTTGTTGATTCTATCTCTATGCATCCAGCCCAGAAGAGCCCATGCTCAAATGGCATGTCCTGCTCATAACCTATCCATTTCTAATGTCCAAAATGCCAAGTGCCAACTCTTCCAAACTTTCTGGTCTCCTCAGTATCTGATGTCACAGAAATTCATTCATCTCATTTCCTGCACTGGCCCAGATGTTTCTAGCTAGTTCTCTCTCTCTCTGTGTTTGTCTCTCTGTGTGTCTCTCTGTCTCTGTCTGTATGTGTGCCTCTGTGTGTGTGTGTATATGTGTGTGCCTCTCTCTTTCTCTCTCTTTCTCTCTCTCTCTCTCTCTCTCTCTCTCTCTCTCCCTCAACACTGCCTGCCTTCTTGCTGCCATGGTAATTGACTCACTCTCTGAAACTGTAAGCAAACCTCTAACTAAATTCTTTCTTCCTGAAGTTGCTTTGATCACAATGTCTTTTCACATCATTAGAACAGTAACTAAGACATACGGCCACTCCATAATAAAATGAAATGGGCTTTATTTATAATTAAGTGTACCTAAGCTGCTGAAATAAGCCTAAGAATAGATTCCATAGAAGCCACTGATGCCTGAGTATAAGAAAGTTGATTCTAAAACGAGGAAATAACTACTAAGCTGTACATATATTTCAACTTGACATTTCATGAGAGTGGTAAAACTATTGCCTAAAACAAGAGTGCGTGAAACCCAACTCCGTAGTAGGAAATGTTGAGTGTATGTACATATAATCCAAGCACACAGTCAATAGGATCTTAGCTGCCAGTTGTGATCAGTCAGTGCTTCTTGAAGGGGAATAATTTTAAACCCCATTTGTAAGATCTTCTTTCAGAGAGAAGGAGCTTTAAACTCACATTTATATGCCCAAATTTTCTGCGAAGAAAAGAGAAGATAATAAATAAAATAATACCCCTTCAGTTTAAAGGTTATTTCCCTGAACTACCTCACCTCCTAACCACATACAGCATAAGCATAAGCTTTGTGATTTCTTTGAGTTCTTTTTCTCTTCTCCAGAATGCATTTTTCACAGTAACAATTGGGACTTGGGGTGGTTGCTGAGCAGAATGTGTTGTTTTCACCATAGTATAGGTTCTAGCAGCAGAAACATTCTGATTCAGTTGCTCCGTACCAGTGATATTTTTGGCTCAGCTGATCCAATGTTGTGGAATGGAAGACTGCTCCTCATGGCTGGGAGAGAATGGATAAAGTATATGAGACACCACATCAAGACTCAGCAGCACATGCGTGTGCATACAGGTGTCAGTGTCTAGGGTCCTATGGCTAGCTCACAGGAAATAGTCCATAAACGTTGGCTTAAAAATTTCTTGCCAGAAATATAAATTGGAATTGACTGTCTTTGTCACACAAGAACACAAACAGTCCTTCTCCTACTTGATTCATGAGCTATCCAATTAAAAGTAGCTGGGTCTGTCAGAGGATTTCTGTCTTTTCAGCTCTAGCATCCCATGAGGCCAGTGAAGCCTGGAGCCCTGCCCCCCAGTACTCTAATCTCCAGGAGGACTTTCCTTATAAGTCTGGAAATTTAAACTCTCAGAATTGCTCCTCCCAGTTCTAAACCTATCTTCTAAATGTCAACATCTCTCCCCTGAGCATCGATAATAAGCAACGGCCCTCTGTGAGTGCTGGTGAAATGAGTTGCCTGAAACAGCGGTCCATCTTCCAGGTTCGGTTTCCGTTTCGCCAGCTTCGCCAGAGAATTCGACAGGAACTGTAGTACCAGGAGGGAATGAAAGTTACAGTTAGTTGAAACTTAGAACTATGACTTCACCATTAATTGAGTCTAAAGTGTTGTATGCCAGTTCCTCGGGAGGTGTTCAGTGAAGTAAGTGTTAAACAAATACGAAAGAAGCAAGCAAGCAAGCAAAAACAAACAAACAAAAAAGCATATCTCAAGGATTTTTGACGGCCTCTTCCTTAGAGATCCTGCCTCTGAGCAGTGTTTTAAAAGGCTACAATCATAGCAAGAGTATGTTTTCTCAAAGGAAACAAGCCACTGTCGTGGGGAGAAGAGAGAGAGGAGAGATGGAAGAAGAAAAGGGGGAGAAACAAATAGAAAGAGGGGGCAAAGGGAGAAAACCCGAAGATGCTAGACAGGAAACAATGTTTGCTGCAAAAATTCAAAGGCACAGTTCAGCTGACAAGTGCTGGGGAACTGATCCAACACTACATGAATCTGGCTTGGAAGAATCTTAAAATTGGGGGAGTGGAGGTGGTAGGATCAGAAGTTCCGAGTCATCCTCAGGCACACAGGGAGTTCCAGGTCTCAAAACTACACACACAGATGGGCTTCCCGTCTTGAGGGTGTAACCCCCCCAACTCTCGTGTCAATCTCTCTCTTCCCCCCCCGCCCCCCATTCCTGGCCTGCAAATCCCCGAAAGTTTGGAAAGAGGAGGAAAAAAGCTTACACTCTTAACATCTTCACTTAGGAAGAGAGTAAGGGGTAAATCGGACTGGAGAGGTCAACTATTGATAGAAAAAGCACTACTTGAAAGGTTGTAATTATGACTGTCAAAAAAAAAAATACGGAGAAAAGAAAAGGCAAAGTCAGGGAGGGATATAAAAGGAGGAGGCCAGCAAGGAAGAAAAGTGAACAGTGTTCTGTTGCTCTTTTCTCTTCTCACTTGTTCCAGTGTCTTCAAAAGTTTCGGGATGGGCAAGAGGGGCTTCTATTTGCATACCTAAGGAAAGAAAACCTGCACCGGGACATCGCACAGGGGACCCCTGGGAGCCGCCCTGCAGCGAAGAAGCCGCCTTCCAGGGTCCATCCTTCTCCTAGCAGAGAGAAGGGCGGAGAGCCAGCGCCTCCCCTGGCCTAGGCCCGCCCTCAGCCAGCAAGCATGGTTCTCGGGCTGCAGCTGCCTGGCGAGTAGAGAGAGAAAGCACAGGAGTCAAAGTTAAGTCAGCCACCCAAGCTCACGCTGGGGCAGCTGCTTCACCTACGGGGCACGTGTGCGCTGGCGATCACAAGCCAGGATCCCGTGAGTGTTCCCAAGCGCTGTGGGGCAGAGAAGGGATAGCCGAAGAGGTGGGAAGGCCGGCTCTAGAACAGGATCCTTTCTTCGCCTCTGGAGAAGGGGTCCAGGAGATTGACTAACGCACAGCGGAAGATGGGGAAACATCCCTGAAAAAGCCGGGAAGGCGGCCTGCCAGAAGCAGGTCCCCTAGGCTCAGTCTGTCATCCATCCAGAAGCAGGGAGTCAGTCGCTCAGAGCAACTTGGCAAGGCTTCCGGAGTGCCGGGGCCGCGGGACTGATGCCAGCCAATTCCACCACCCCTGGTGCCTGCCTGCGCATGGGCACAGTCCTACTCCCCGACGAAGTGGAGAACTATATGAACACCAAACGTCCCTGCCCTGTGCGGCTATCAAGTCCTCTCTTGTTTGTTCTTTTCTCTTCGTGAGAACTTTTCAGCGAAGATACTAACTTTTCTGTGGAAACTGCTGGGCGGTGTTAGGAGAGGAAAAAGTGCAAACTGATGGAGAGGACCTGCTCCTTTCTACTTTTTCCAGCATCCGCGGGTTAAACCATCACCTCCAGAGCATCGAAGTTGTGGGAAGTGGAGACAGCTGGGAGGGGAGCAGGATTTCCTTGCCACCTTCAGCTGGATCTAGCCCTCCGCATGCATGAGTGTGCCAACACCAGCAAAGTGGGCAGGGTTCTGCATGTGGAGTCTCTGCTGGGACCCGAGTGAATGGCCCCCAGGGACAGCGCGGAGCCTCAGCCTCCGCCACCTCCTCAGGGCTGGGTGTGGCCTGGAAAGATAGTGGCAGTGGCGATGGGTGCCCTGGCAGGCTTCTGGATCCTCAGCCTACTCACCTATGGCTACCTGTGCTGGGGCCAGGGCTTAGAAGAGGAGGGGCTCCTGGGTGCTCAAGCTGAAGAGAGATCTGAAGCAGGCGCCACGGGCACCGCCCAGCCCCATCTCATTTTCATCTTAGCTGATGATCAGGGATTTAGAGACGTGGGTTACCACGGATCTGAGATAAAGACGCCCACTCTTGACAAACTCGCTGCGGAAGGAGTTAAACTAGAGAATTACTATGTCCAGCCTATTTGCACACCGTCCAGGAGCCAGTTTATCACCGGAAAGTAAGTGTTACCACTTCTAGTTACTATCTGAAAACATCGTAAACCTTCATTTACATTGGTTTCTCCATTTAAGAGAGAAACAGAAAGTATGGGGCGGTGGGAACAATCCAATGAATGAAGAGATGAGTGGGTGAATGATGTACCGTCTGTCAATATTAGTGTGAACAGTCAGGTCCTATTCTCCTGCCTTTCCTTTCCCTGACAGCCATCTGCGAGCTTTTGAGTGGTGTCAGGCTTTTTATATTCATCCAGCAACCAGAGAACTCATTGGTTGCTGCTTGGATTCTGGTTCGATCCTCAAGTATGTTCACATATTTTTTCAGGTACAGAGCAGAAATCACAAGGCAAGGTGTCGTTTACAAACTCTTTGTTACAAAAATCTAGAATTGCGTGACCAAATCCCCAGGTCATCACAAAGAGAACAGAGGCCACAAAAGAAAAAAAAAAAGTGACGTTTAAGTGTGATGGATATGGAATATGCCTCTGTTGGTCTCTTAGTTTCTTTGTTGGTGTATTTTTTTCTTATGGTGCCATATCTAACTGCCAAGATAATTCTGAAGATGCCGTGAAGTTGAGTGGAATTTGCTGCTGATTCTCTGAGTGGGGAGGAAGTCTGAGTGACTGTCACAGTGCAGATACCTGAGAAATGCATAAAATGCTGTCAGTCGGCTAACTAGAATCTTCTTAAGGTGTTCATACATTTTTCTGTTTTTTTTTTTTTTACTCTGTTAGAATATCCATGATCTTAACTTTTTTTACATGGTGCAAATTCAGTTTGAAAGGCAGGTAAAGCATTAGGGTCAAGGGTCAAGCTACTCCTGAACAGTTCATGTGTCAATCTATGTGTCTTGTGAGTTTGGTTTCAGGACAGAGAACTTCACTTGCTTCAAGTTGTTCTTGGAGTTCAATCCTGTCCAAGTAGCCAGTAACCAGTCTGGAAAAATCAAGACTCCAGTGTTTTGTAGGAATCTTGGTCTTGCAAAGACTTTTGCTTACAGCATAATTTCCACTGCTTAGCACACTGTCAAAAGTTGCCATCAGTAGGATAAATTATTTTTTCATCCTTAGAAGAGCTAGAGTGCAGGGCATGGTGGCACACATTTTCAATCCCAGCACCCAGGAAGCAGAGGCAGGCAGACCTCTGAGAGGTTGATGTCAGCTTGGTGTATATAGTGAGTTCCTGGTCAGCCAGAGTTACAAAGTGAGATCCCTATCTCAAACATAAAAAAAGAAAACAATGGTAAATTAAAGAAAGAAGAGGATGGGGAGGAGAAAAGGGAAGGGTCTCAGTGTCCTCAGAGTCATTTTTATTGCATCATAAAGTCAAGAGCATTTGATATTTATAAAAGAGCAATTGTTGGCTGGAAAAATTAGCCCATCTGTGGCCTAGGATTAAGTTTTTCATCTCTATTCCCAGCCGTCCTTATCCTTGGCTCATGAAATGAACGTGTCATAAAGACACTTCAACTGATTTATAGAATTCAAATTTGCTCAGAGAGCCAACAGAAGTTGAAAAATATGAAACTGAATTATATAAACTTACTTTACTCAATAAAGTATGTTCAAGGCTTTCCACTGAATCAGGACATTTGGTCCTGAACATCTTATACTGATAAAATATCTATCCTGCCTTTATGGTTATCTGGAAGTTTACCTAATAAGATGGAACAAGATTAAGAAGATGGAACCGACTCCTGTTTTCCCCCTTTAATCAAGGGCTGACTCAGCATTTTCAGGGCAGCCAAGCATCCAGTAAGAAGATGCTGATTCCTGCTAACATTTCATGTTCGGTCCAATAAGTTGCATAATTGCTTTGTAGACAAGAAAAGTTCAAATTGCTCCTGTGATTTGCTACAGCTTTTTACTTGAGTTAAGCAGTGAGAGATGTCTCACTTGGTGTTTTCCCTGGGACTTTCCTGTAAATGTGTACAGTTGTAAAAAAGTGGTCATGAGTGCCTAGTTCTGGGCTTACTAGCAATACTTCAGGCCCAAGAATATGGCGCTTATTCTGACTGTGAGAACATGTGTGTGCTTTTTGCATCCTCTAAAGAACAAAAGGAAGGAAGCGATAAAATCCCGGTGGGATGGATTATTTCAAGAGGAAAGTAGGTTATGGGAAATGTGAGAGGAGTCAAATATCTTTACGCCAGTTGAGCAGAGTCTAATGTCTAGAGCTGAATTCATGTTCGATACCATCAACACAACACTCCTTTTTATGTTTGGGGTTTTTTTTTTATTTTTTTGAATCAAAATGTGAAACTCTTTTTTATGCTGCCTAGCTAATGTAACAAATTCCCTTTACAATTTATGTCACACTGCTCTGACAACACTGCACATCAGTCACCGTCAGGAAGCTGTTATTGCATGCAGACGTCTGCCTGCAGACTGAGGAGCCATTGAGAACCCTGCTCTCTAGGTGGTGGTAGTTCTCAAACTCAGAAATGCAGATTGAGTCACCTCAAGGGCCAGTCAAAGGGCAAATCTCTAGGCCTACACATCATTCAGCTTCAGCAGCGATGGGGGGCTTTCCAGAAATCACTAATAGTTTTATGAATACGTTCCATTATTCTGATGACAATTATGCTTATGATGAATTAAAAGCATCTTTGTTAAACACCAGAATCTAGGGAGCTATCATTGTTACACACGTTCCTGTTTTACATAGATTTGGTAAGAGTCCAAGAGGGATAATGATGCAGTGTGGTCAATGGATGCTCGTAAGTGGTCAATGGATGCTTGTCATTGTTCTGATGACAGAAAGGATAATTGAGAAAGTGACTGCCTGCATTCAATCCATTTCAAGGTAACTTTATTATTCTTCAGGAATTGTTCCAAGTGGTAACCCAGAGAAATAACACCACTTCTCCTTTAAGAAGGTCATAATGATGGCTTCTGAATCATAGACTTTGCAAACCTTAGACACACATTTCCAAAAACCTAAGGAAAGGCAGGCAACCTGAATTGGATTTCTCTCATAATAAGTCAGTGTCTTCCTCTTATGGATGTCTCCACGCCGTTGCCTATTGATGTAACTTGTTGAATCTCTCAGTGTGATAGTGTTCCTTTGCGTAAATATGCTACAGTGTTTACCCATTCCATCATCAAGAATGTTGGTGCTTTCCAGTTTGATACTAGTATGAAAATAATGCTATGTGCACGAGCAAGGAACTCAGGACCGCGAGGGGTACACCCACACACTGAGACAATGGGATTGTTCTACTGGGAACTCACCGAGGCCAGCTGGCCTGGGTCTGAAAAAGCCTGGGATAAAACCGGACTTGCTGAACATAGCGGACAATGAGGAATACAGAGAACTCAAGAACAATCGCAGTGGGTTTTTGATCCTACTGCACGTACTGGATTTGGGGGAGCCTAGGCAGTTTGGATGCTCACCTAAGAGACCTGGATAGAGGTGGGCGGTCCTTGGGCTTCCCACAGGTCAGGGAACCCTGATTGCTCTTCAAGCAGATGAGGGAGGGGGACTTGATCGGGGGAGGGGGAGGGAAATGGGAAGTGGTTGAGGGGAGGAGGCAGAAATCCTTAATAAATAAATAAATTAAAAAAATAATGCTAAACAGTTGCCCATGCTTTGTTGAGCATATCTTTGCATTCATTTTTTTTTTTATCAAGTAGAGTTGCTGAGGTACAGGTCCATGAGTGTGTGACTTTTGTAGATCCTGCCCAGCAGTTCCCAAAGTCGTCACATCTGAGCTTGAACTATGAATCACTGCAACTACGTGGTAAATTCCATCTGTACCAACAGTTCGTGCTGTCCCTTTCCATTTTAGAATTCATGGTCATTGCACACTGGTATGCTGTCCTGATTAAAATTTCCATTTACATAATAACTAATAATGTCAAGTGTCTTTTAGTAAATATTCATGCAAATTGTCCTTCTACTTTCTGTTTAAGTGCCTGTTCATTCCTTGGTGGAGTGTGATGATTATTTATATAATCTCTTCCTTTTTCTGTTTGTACTGCACGACTCCTCCACTCTCGCTGGTTCAGTAATGGGGTTGTTACTGACTAGGTTTTAATTTTATTGTAGTTTAATTTCTGTTATTTTCCTTCCTTGCTTATTTAAGACTCTAGCTTATACTATATCATCATAATAGGCTTTTCCTCCTAAATCTTTTATTGCTTTGTTTTTATATTTAGATCAACTGGAATTAACTTTTAATGTAGTATTAAATCAGAATTCCAAAGTATTCCCTCTCATTTGTCTGTCTATTTGGCCTGATAACTTAAATTTGATCCCCAGAACCCACAAAGTGGCAGGAGAGAACTGATTCCCAAAAGACTCCCTAGAATTGTCCTCTGATCTGCATGAGCAGGTCATGATGTGGGCATGCATGCTGTGGCACATGAATGCCTGAACACGCACACACATGCATGCACACACGCATGCACACACACAGAAGAAGGGGAGAATGAGACAGAGATAACTTTTAAGATCACATGTTCTCCATAACATTGCATAATCATCATCAACTGTTACGTTTGGTCCATTTCTAGACTCTTCTGTTCTAATAACTATCCTTTTCTCCAATGGAACCTTCGTTGTATGATAAATATTAATGTGTAGACCAGTGGTTCTCAACCTTCCTCTTACTGTGACCCTTTAATACAGTGCTTCATGCTATAGTGATGGCCAACCCTAAAATCATTTCATTGCTACTTTGTAAGTGTAATTTTCTACTGTTATGAATTTTACTGTAAATATCTGACATGCAGGATATACAATCCATGATCATTATGAATGGACTGTTAGACTCCCAAGGGGTTAGATTGCCACAAGTTGAAAACCGCTGATCTAGAACGTAAGTCCTCCTAATTGTCCCTTAAAATCACATTTGCTGTTTTTTATCTTTTCACTCATGGTGAAAGGAACAAAGATGGTTACAAAGTGCAAAGAGATTGGAAACTTGATTGGAGGACTATGGAGGAGTTCACTTTGGAATCATTCTGCTTTCTACATAACATGAAAAGTGAGATCACCA